CGTAGCCTACAAACAAAAACAATGTGAAAGACTCCCATTAAGACAGCACGCACACCCATAGAGTCTATACTATAACTACATATAATAATGATGATAAGACTCTGATGACCCTCATGAGGTCACAAGTGCGCTCGTGCACCCTCAAAACACACCTGCTCACACACCACTTAACTCACACATTTTGCCGCCTCGCTAGCTACACACGTGTGCTACCTGGCAGTCGAACGTGCCGTGAGCAAGGAATGCAAGCTTACCTGCACCACCACCCTCGCAAAGAGGAAAGAAGAGTAGAGATCATCATAAAAGAAAAAGAAAGAAGGTAGAAAAAACCCTCCCAAACTTTTGGCACACAGCATCAGTAGCACTGGCACTAGCCTTGTGCACATCATGAGAGTGTTGCCAATAATGTTATGATCTCGGACAAACTACACGATTCTAGAGGAGCTTTTCGGATGTGTGTCTTGGAGTGTGTTTGTGTCTGTGTGTAAGTCTAGACGCATAGAGTGTATAAGAAAGTTTAGGTCCAAGTGCAAACAATGTGCATACTGTTGTGTTCATGATTTCGTAACTACTATGAAAGCTTCAAGAACGAGTTCTCAATGGTGAATAGGTGGGCCGCTCATGGATATCGTCATCTTTTCGGGTGTTTGAAGGATATGAGTTTCTCCTTGTAAAGACAGCAAATACTTCTATCAATGTAGCCTATAATCTCAGGCTGTGTCGATTACGAACGCTGCGTAATAGTTTTCCGTTACAAAACTTCCCTTACATTTTTCTCTTACTTTGCAAGGTCATGACAAAGATATAATTTATTCAGATTTGAGATATCTACTCAAAATGCTTTGTCTGTTTCTTACTTTCTCTGAATAGCTCAGAGCTCCAAGGAAACCGACCAATTTGGGCAAATGTGTTTATTTTTACTGTTTAGTCATGTGGCCTGACTGCTAGTTATTAGCTCGTGGCAATAATAATAATATAATAATAATGATGATAATAATAATAATTTTGTGCTCGTTCTTTCTTGTTAATTAAACAAATGGCATAACATCGTTATTAGTGCAGATTTATTTTCCGTTGTTTTTCTTCATTTGGAACTTAACCAGGCACGCAACAACAGTACGTGCAACAATGAAGTATTCCAACTCATGTTTTCCTTTTGCTTATTAGTTTAGTTTTAGTCAGAGTGAGTTTTAAGGCACTTGCAACACAAAAAGATAATATAAGTGCCGAAGATTCGAGGTGTTACAAGAGAGTAACAAACACAAAAATGGAGAAGATATAAGGACGAAAGATGTTTGATAGGAAAGAAGGAGCAAATCACACCCCAGCACCCCCAACCTCCCGCCCTTTTGTGTATAATGTTTGGAAATGTACCACAACGTTGCCTTTTGTTTGTCTGTTGCTGACCGGGCTCTGTGTGTCCCACACAACATCTCTGAAGAGTTAACTAGTTGTGGTGTGCGGGTGCTCTGGTGTGGTTTGCTCGTTTTTATCAATCAAATGTCCATCGTTCTTATCACTCGTCCTCTTTTTTGTGCCTTTTACTCTCTTGTATCACCTCTGAACTTCGGCAGTTATACGACTTAATTGTGTTGCAAGTGCTGTAATGCGTTTACTAAAACAAACCAGTTCCTCTGTGTGAGGCATCAGCATCAAGTCACTACCTCAGAATTACAACAAAGTTCTATCTGACATTTTTGGCTGCTTTGAGTTATAAAGACCATGACATAAAACCACCAACCAAATGTTCTATTTGCTCTATCAAAATCGTAAGATTATTTGCAGTCGTTATCAAGATATTCAAAAAATTGCATTCGAAAAAGCTTGACATGATGTGAAACTCGAATATCTTTGACGTCAAATTGCTCAAAACTAAGTACTGAGCAGATGATAAAAAGCACTGAGCAGATGATAATAATAAATGAAATTTTATAGCGCTCAACACGGATTAAAGTACACAGAGCGCTTTACAATACAGTACAACGTACAACAGTAACATAAAACTGTGTGTTCTGACTAAAGAAAATTACTCCAAATATTCATCTTCTTGATTTAAAAACAGAAACGACTTCAGCTGACATAATTTGAATGAATCAAAAGATTTGATCTCTCTTAAAGCTTTCCAGATCTTGGTGCCTTAGCATTCAAATGCCCTTTCACCCATTGTTTTAAGTTTCATGGATGGTAAAATAAATTTCTTTTTGTCAGCTGATGACCTTAAACTGCCAGTTGAAATGTACAGTCTTAACAGATTTGATAAATATGATGGTGCATTATCATTCAGACATTTGTATTTTTAAGGCAGCGAAGTAGGGAACAAAACGTCTTTCTTTGTCTCTCTCAGACATTGTGTACCTGGAAGTAACAAGTGAGGAGGATCGAGCGGGAGTTTGAGGCGGGGAGTAAACAGAACAGAGGCCATCACGAGAAGACAAGAGTGAGTGTTTGTCGACTTTATTATTGTCTTTTGTTTTGGTGAGTGTTGTGTGGCGCTCGCAACTGCATAAGGTCATTTATGAACACGCCCTCCGAGATTTTTCGCCCTTGTCTGAGAAGTCTAGGTGTAGATCTTTCATATAAGAAGATCAGGGGTGTGGCTGAAAGAAAGCAGTGAGAAGGAGCCGAGTAGAAACAGTAGAAAGGCTGCAGAAAAAAATCAGGAGCCCAGAGGAGGGGGCAAAGGAAGTGAGGGGAGAGGGTCAGAAAGTGGAGACGAAAGCAGGTGACAGAATATGGCTAGAGAGCATGACAGGAGTTGAAAGCAGACAATTTTAGAGAAGAAAATTTCTCCGTCGCTACCCGGATTCGAACCCCGGACCTTTGAATGAGAGGCGAAC